GAATTTGGGCAGATGTTCACCATGTGTGACTGTCCGGGAACCCTTTTTTTGGGGGAAAATGGGGATTTGGTACCTAGTGTGAGCGTGCCCTAAGGAAAAAAAGAACATCCAGCCGCGGTCGGGCTCGTATCTGCCGCGGATTGTTTTTTTTGTTTTTTTTTCTGTTTTAAAGGCTAATTGCCCCTCCTTCTCCGCCGTGCTTTGTTTTGTTTTATTTTTGTTTGCCTTTCCCGCCCTCTGTCCTAAGCATCCTCGCTTTCCCGCGCTCTGTAGCAGCAGGCGGCTTCTCCGCACTACGCGGCCAAATGTGCAAAATAATGAGAATGAATCTTCGCCGAGGACATGGAAAGATGCGCCGCCATAATTGTTGTCTTTTTGAATTATTTTCTGAATCTGGTCAGTGCGGCGAGGCCCATCCTCCCTTCGCAGTACCTGTCGGAAGGCGGTTACGAAGGCAGAGAATCTCCGAGATGAAATTGAAATAAAAGGACCAAGTTGACGCGTAGACGATCGTCTCACCTGCGCCGAATCACTCGTAGCCTCGTAGGAACTTTAGTCGCTCCTCCTTGTCAACGAGAACGGGCGGGAGTGCGGCCATCTCTGCTGCCCCATTGCGTTGCTCGATATAGCCAAGTGCGTAAACACAGTACCGTTCGTAGCGACGAAGATGGTGGTCAAGGTCGGCATCAATGGCTTCGGCCGCATCGGCAGGCTGGTGTTGAGGGCTTCCCTCAGTCATCCCGATGTTCAAGTTGTCGCCGTGAACGATGTACGTCTCTCTCTCTCTCTCTCTCTCTCTCTCTCTCTCTCTCTCTCTCTCTCTCTCTCTCTCTCTGTCTCTTGCTGACTCCCTGTCTCTTTCTCTCTGTGTCTGTCTCTCTTGTTGGGGGTCCATTTGATAATGCGACTTTCTGTCTTTTGTCACATGTTTGTGTGTGTGTGCTTCTGACGTTTGTGTGTGTGTGATGTGATGTGTGTGTGTGTGTGTTTGTGTGTGTGTGTGTGTGTGTGTGACTTAAGCTCCGTCGATAAATCAGTTGAATCGGCTGTTTCCACTCAGGATGTTTTCGTTTCCTTGTGCTTTCTCTCGCCTCGTGTCTTTCTGCCTCTGCGAGAGGATGCACTCGTTTGAGTCACTGGCTGCTTCACCTCTTGAGGTGGAGGGAGGATTACAATTTCCTTACCTTCTATTTATAGGTTCGCGTCCGTTCTTTGTTTGCACTGAGTTTCTTCCATTGGTCAGTTGAATCTTTTAATTTGCGCTAATGGACTCTCTTCCGCACGGAAAGGCACTTTCGTTTGCTTGTAGCGGCTTCCTGTTCTTCCTTTTTCCGGTTTTCTCGAAATGGGGTAGCTTCTTGCCATGTTCATCGCGGCACCAGAATTCGATCTCTTCTTTTTGTTCAGGGTTTTGGTTCCCGACTGTTTTTTGAATGTCTGTTTTTTGAAATGTTTGCTGTAAGCACACTTCCACTTAGGACTTTCCTGGGTGCATCCGACCGCAATCGCGGTATGTGCCCCGGGATGCATCTGACCGTGAATACGTCCCCCAAAGAAGTCGAAAACGTTCCGAGTGTTAGTATGCCTGGGCTGATGTGCGCGAAAGTCTTAGCACTTGATTTTTTTTTTTTTTTTTTTTTTTAGCACTTGATTTTCAAAGCACCGATCCGCTGGGTTCGATCCCTCGATCGCCGGCCACTTGTTATAGCTAACCGGCCGTTGATTCCAGTTCGGCCGTTGATTCCAGTTCTTCCCGCCTTTAGCAATCTATCTGGGCGTCAAGAGTCGAGATCCGCTGCTTTGCAGAGTATTGGGGCATTCTTTTTTTTTTTTTTTTTTTTTTTTTTAATAACAGACAAGTAGCGGGGCATTCTCACCCCAGACAAGTAGCGGGGCATTCTCACCCCTTTGCGACGAATCGGGAGGTGTTATTTTGGGGGAAGACGGTAGGGTTTTCATGGATATGTCCGTCCGAAAGAGTACGTCCGAAGGGGGCATAATTTATTTTATTTTATTTTATTTTTTTTCTTGGAAGGGCGACGGCCTTGAGATACCATCATTGCACTACCCGTCTTCATCCGAATAGAACGCCCAGTAATTATCGCAGTATCTGGACTGGAAGTTGCCCCAAATACAGCTATAAGGACCAGCGGGCGTTCTATTCGGGTGAAGACGCAGGTACTTGAGAATTTTCTGGTCATGTGTTTGTATCTGGATTCGAAATCGGCTCTGTATTTCGACAGTCTGTGGCTGTACCAACTGAGCTAGGCTCGTTGGTGGGGCATAACTTTTCCACGTTTCGTTCTTTCATCCTTGATTGTGACCTCGATCTGCTCGTTTTTCTTTTTCTTTTTTCATTTCTGAATTTTCATCCAGTGTCGCAGTCGAGGGCATACTCGCAAAAAGAGGTGCACTCACTGCACTGCAGGCGATTCTTCCGGCGATTGTCTAGGAGTTTTTTTTTTTTTTTTTTTTTTTTTTTTTTTTTTTTTTTTTTTTTTTTTTTTTTGTTTTTTTTTTTAGGCTTTTTTTTTTTTTTTTTTTTTTTTTTTTTTTTTTTTTCCATCTAGGAGTTGTTGATAACTTGATGCTAGGATTATTTTTATTTTTATGTATAATATTCAGCGTCAAGTTGATTGGGCATTTTTAACCCAATGGACACAGGTTCAGGTCCTGCTATCCGGCGTTATGTTCTGACTGCTCGGTCGTCTGTAAACTCGCATCTGCGCAGCCCTTCCTGGATCCGGAGTACATCGTTTATCTCTTCAAATACGATACGGTACACGGCAAGTACAAGGGAGAGGTGGGTCTTTCTGCCGACAAGAAGCTTGTGGTCGACGGTAAGGAGATCGCTATCTTCGCCCTAAGGGACCCATCTCAGATCCCATGGGGCCAGGCGGGAGCGGACTACGTTGTGGAATCCACCGGAGTTTTCACAGACAAGGACAAGGCCGCGGCACATCTCAAGGGAGGCGCCAAAAAGGTGAGAGACCTCAGACAAGAATTTCCCTCGTGTGCGTAGACGTGCAGTGAATGTCTGTCTGCTTTGTTTGTCTCCACTGTGCTCATTTCAACTTCGTTCGTTTCCACTTCTTCTTCGCTCTTCTACATCGCCTTCTTGTTCTCTTTTTTGCGGAGTCGTTTTTCTCCCTCCTTTCCTCGTCGTCGTCCTCCTTTTCCTTTTTTTCCCCTTTAGGAAGGAGTTGGCCTCGAGAGATCACGGTCGACCTGATCGCCGTGATCGGCCCCAGGTAATTCAGAATGATTTAAATGAAATTAAACCCATTCATCTAGTTCCATTCGGATTCGAACCCCGGGCCAAGTCCCACTTACCCGAATCCTCAACTTCTGCCATTAGATTACGGAGATCAACGGCCAGAAATGAAGAGTCAGCGTAAGTGGGACTTGGCCCCGGGTCTGTAATTGAACAGCTCGTCAGCTCATTGGTCGTCCTCCTTTCTCTTGAGTTTTTTTTTTTTTTTTTTTTTTTTTGAAAGGGCGACGGCCTTGAGATATTATCATTGAGCTGACCGGCCCCAAGAAATTCATTAGTAGTTGGCTTTACTCGTCAAGTTCCATCATTTGGATTCGTAAAAAGGTCTGTATTTCAACAGTTCAAGGGTGTACCCACTGAGCTAGGCTCTTGGGTGAGAAATCGCTAGTTGATTACTATTCAATTCAGTTTGCCCAAGTTGAGAAAAGAACGGGGATACAGCCTGTCGGACTTTCTGTCCTTTCTCGCCAGCATTTCGGTACATATCTGCATGATGCGCATGTAGTCATCCAGGTGCATTCGCGAGAGCATTGCTGGCAGGCTCGTGGTGATTGAGAACATGTATAACTTAAGGGACCCATCTCAGATCCCATGGGTCCAGGCGGTAGCGGACTACGTTGTGGAATCCACCGGGGCCAAGTCCCAATTATCCCAGTCCTTGATTGCTGACCGTAGACTGCGAAGATCGACGGACAGAAATGAAGCACAGGACCGATTGGGACTTGCCCCCCGGAGTTTTCACCCACAAGGTCAAGATTTATGTCGGTCACTGCGCGATTCCGACTCGAATTCTTCCTTTGTTTTTCCTTCTGCTCTGTATCCTCGCTGGGCGTTATCCTTATGCGCTCAATGTGATTTCTTCTTTTCTTTTCAATTTGGACCATTTCTTGATCTACTCCTTGTTTTTCTTGCTTGGACCGTTTCTCGGTCTATGTGTGTCATTTATTTTTATTTTCTTTGGGCCATTTCTTGATTTATTATTGTCATTCTTGCGTAGGGGTAATCACGATGCTAATCTTTTCTATGCTCTCTGATCCCTACAAATTTGATGAATTTTAGTTTTAAGCATAATTTTCTTTTACTGTCGTTTGGCTTTAACGATTCTCCTGTACATCCAGGGGTGATTCGTACTTGGTTCTCTTTAAAATTGAGATATAATCGGGAAATATTTTGGGGTGACTTATTTTTGGGCTGATAATCCGGGGTGATTTATTACTATTTCGATTTCCTTAAAACTACGACAGAATTGAGATATCATCGTGAAACTGACCGGCCCTAGGTATAAGGTAATTCAGGAATCTCGTTCCTCCGGTTCCATCTGGATTACAAGTCAGGTGTGTATTAATCAAGAGTTTATGGGTGTACCAACTGATCTGAGCCTGTTCCTTGGCTTTATTTATTTTTCATTTCTTTCTTTAATAAAGTGAATTCTTTTTCTTTTTTTTCTGGCTTGATTTATTTTTCATTTCTTTCTTTAATGAAGTGAATTCTTATTTTTTTCCTTATCTGGGGTGATGATCCTGACGTGATTATATGCAGGTGGTTATCTCTGCTCCTTCTGGCAATGCCCCGATGTTCGTCATGGGCGTCAACGAGAAATCTTACACGCCCGACCTGGACGTGATATCGAACGCCAGCTGCACCACCAACTGCCTTGCTCCTCTTGCCAAGGTCATCAACGACAGCTTCGGCATCGTCGAGGGTCTCATGACCACAGTGCACGCTGTCACTGCCACGCAGAAGACCGTCGACGGGCCGTCTGGCAAGGATTGGAGGGGCGGTCGCGGCGCCGGGTTCAACATCATCCCGAGCGGGACCGGCGCCGCAAAGGCAGTGGGGAAAGTCTTGCCTGTGCTGAACGGCAAGCTCACGGGCATGGCTTTCCGTATCCCGACAGCTGACGTGTCGGTCGTAGATCTTACGGTGCGGCTGGAAAAGAGCGCCACGTACGACGAGATCAAGGCGGTCATCAAGAACGCCTCGGAGAACGAGCTCAAGGGCATCTTGGGCTACACGGACGAGCAAGTGGTTTCCTCGGATTTCATCGGCGACACTAGATCCAGCATCTTCGACGCCAAGGCGGGTATCGCTCTCAGCGGCAATTTTGTCAAGCTCGTCTCGTGGTACGACAACGAGTGGGGATACTCCAACCGTGTTGTGGAACTCATTGAGCACATTGCGAAGATCGCCTAAGTAAATAATCAGAGGGTCATCAGTAGTGACAGTCGGTCGGTAATTCAAGGGCAAGACCGTTAAATTTGAAATCTCGAATTCTGTTTTCCCCCTGTTTTTTCGGTGAATTCGTTAGCGTTTTTTTTTTTTTTTTTTTTTTTTTTTCCCCGGAATGTGGAGTAATTAGAGTAATAACCAGACCGGATTGAGCTGATCAAAAAAAAAACTTTTCTTTTTTGGCTGATGTGTCTCTCTCTCGATGATAGATGTCTGTTTTAGATGAATCCGATTTCTCTTTAGCTGATATGTCGGTTAAACTAGTAGGATGAGATTCTTGACCTTCTTTCTCCGCATTTTTTATCGTCTCTGAATGCTTTCGTGCCCGTCTCTCATAACTTCTTTCTCGCTCTTTGAGTGAGCGAATTGCCAGTGGACAAGCGTATTTACTGTAGAGACTTTTGCTTGCGTACAAGGAAGGGTAAGATCACCTTATGAATGGTGGCGTCAAATTGCCAGGCCTTCGAATGGGCAGCGTAGTGTACTGCGTTCTAGCTTACTGTAGTGGTGTAGAGAATGGGCGTGGATGGTCGCGCTGAGAGGAGTGGGCGACCTATCGAGCAGGTGTCCGCGTGTTTTCTAAATTAAAATTTGCCTTGTCATTTGTTTTGGTGAATTATTATTACTGCCAACTGGCTTCTATTTTGGTATGTTGGTCTTTTTACTTTTTTTGTGTATATTTTGGTCGTTTTTTTTTTTTTTTTTTTTTTTTTTTTTTTCTGGTGCAAGGAGGCCGTTTTACGCCTGCCGGCTCCTCCCCCCCCGCCTTCCCCCCCTTGAAAAAAGCTCAATTTTGTATATTTTGTTGCCGTTGAACTTTGTCTTGGTTGAAGTGCAATGAACCCAAGTCGTGAATACAATGTCGACACTGAAAGCCAAGATTATCGAACCAATGATAGATCTTCAACGACAATAGTATCCAGTAAGAAAGTGGGGGGGTGAGATAATCATACACGGACGAAGAGAGGTGGGGGAGATTAGACAAAGGAGAGGGATAAGGCCCACCCCTTCTCCAGGCTCCTCCTATGACAGCAACCCCACATCAGCAATGATCTGAATACAAATTAGAGACTCAGCCTCCGGGTGCCACGTGGCACCGATCAATACATTAATTAGCGCTGGAGCCTCGTYGTCATGAAGACATCAGGTACGTATTCACAACACCTCACAAGTCCTGATCTCATCCCGAATRGKCACGACSCCTCCTTGAAGTAACGAAGCCGATGATCAATAGCCGGTCGTAAGGATCCGACAGTACGACACRTGGCARCGCCACGTCAGCAGCAATWTGTGGCGACTGCCACGTCAGCAGATCAGAGACAGTCGCCAGCCAGATAGCAAGCCAGCCAGCGGTAACTCACCATGTCAGCAAATGCCGGCCTTCCTCCAGTCTCGCAGCGTCAAACCAAGGCTGCGAGAGTCAGGCGCTGAAAAAAACAGCGTCAACGCAAGACAGCCAGAATTCCCAAAGTCAAGGAGCCAATGCTCTTATAGTGTTGACTCGGGGTCTGATCCCCGGTAATATCCAACCTCAGCCGTCCAGATCTCCCTGCCTGGAGGGTCTGGATAGATCTGCAACTGTATCTTCTTTGGCCTGGGTCGTAGTCTGGGTACCTGCACTCAACAAGTGAATGAATCTGATCCAAGACCTGGCATGGTACTTTGACTGACAGTTGATTTTGACCTTTGATTTTCCTAAGTCKTGGCGTTCGGTCCCACAGCYGTACGMAGTTTACTCAGGCCGGGGCATGTGTTGGTTACACAGCCCGGCGCAGTCTTCCGCAGACTGCGTGGCCTGGGGCTAAGGGTTGGGCCCCAGGTCGACTGCTGAACAGGGTTATTACAGAAGTATGGCTGAAGTGCTCGCCTTCTCTTCTGTTTCCTCTTTTGGGGACATTCTTCCTTAGGTCATCTTAACCGGAAAAGTATTTAACCCCTCTGGCAGTGTGGAGAGGAGGATAAGAAGAAGAAGAAGAAGAAGAAGAAGAAGAAGAAGAAATAATAAAAGTTATAAAACCTTCCCGCGACGAAACGTTTGTATTCATTTCCCCCCAGTCGGGGCAAAAAGTGCCGAACGCCCCAAAATGACGTTCCGTGTCGTTTTTGCACCCTGGATGGGCCGGTAAAGCCCGCTGGCAAAAGTGGCGGGAAAGTGTTGTACAGGGTGCGAAATTCCGGTTGTCTATTCCGTCTTTCAAAAAAAAAATAAAAAAAAAAAATAAAAAAAAATCCGTCTTGCTCTTTAACGATAGGGGAAGTCACGGAAGTGTGCATAATCATGTTGAGTTTCGCTTTCGATTTCCGAGATCGAATAACCAAGGCTGTAGCCCCTTTCGTGGCAGTGTGGGGAGGAGGAGGAGGAGGAGGAGGAGGAGGAGGAGATGAGGGATGAGAAGGCAGAGGAAAACGTGGCAGAGGTATGACATTGTGTCGGTGCACCGGTGACATCCACGCGCTGGCATTCAGATTCTCTGTATCCTCTGATGCACGGCATTTTTCTCAGCCTTATTTTCAGTGTTTGGAGGTCCCAATCGCTAACAGAATTGGATTAAGCACCTGAATGTGGATGTGTTTTACGGAGAGATCAAGACAAGCAGATCGATCGCGGTTATCTTCACCTCTCCTGAAACACGTCCATTTTCTCTTCTGCGTTAAATCCAATCCTCCTTGCTAGTGTCCTTCTCTTCTGTGTATCGCTCAAATTGGTAGGCTTGTCAAGATCGACTGTGTCGCCCTGACCTGAGAAAAACTGCCTGGCTAAGGTCCCACTACCAGCGAAGAGAATTGGATTTAATGTCTGAATCTGGACGTCTGTGTGGAGAGGTGCAGAGAATCGCGATTCACTTGCTTTTCTTCTTCTTCTTTTTTTCTTTTCTCTTTCGGTACAAGAGACATCCAGAATCAAGTTCTCAAAAAAAAAAAAAAAAAAAANGGTATGTACACTACTGTTATATGCACTGGTAATCTTGGGTAAGTTCTCATCCCAATCAACTTGATCGGGTCTTACATACATTCGCAAGAGCTGTTGGCACAAACGGTTCATCTGTTCGCTTTGTCCATTCGTTTCAGGGTGTCGYCCTGACGTCATGGTCAATCGCGTACCGTATGCTTCCATCAGCTTTTGCCATGGCATACTTGTGAATCGAGAATCTATGTCAGATACGATAGTCAAGGGAAATCCATACTCGGTTACCCATCGCATCTGAAACTTCTGAATCACAAGTTCAGTTTTAGCTTCAGCAGGTAAGGGAATAAACATAGCATACTTAGAGAAACGATCTACAATAACCATAACTTGACTATTTCCATTGCGACTTTTGGTGAGAGTCATAAAATTCATTGAAATCGACTCACGTGGTTCACTAGGGATCGGCAATGGTCTAAGTAGTCCAAGCGGGTTCTCATGTGAAGGTTTGTTTCTYTGGCATACTAGACAAGTGCAGACGTACGTAAGTACATCTTCTTTTAAACCCTTCCAGTCAAAGCGTTCTCTTACCTCAGCGTAGGTTTTCTTGAATCCAAAGTGTCCCTCAAAATCATGACACTCCCCAATTATCATACTTTTAAGTTCTTCTTTATGAGGAATGCATAACCTTTGTTCAGTTTGGTCAATCAAGAAAAGCAAACCGTCGACAATCTTATACTGGGGAAGTAGTGAAGAGTCTTTGACCATGGTGTCCAGGATAGGTTTCCAAATAGGATCAGTGGCATATCCCTGGCGTATCTGCTCTTTCAAATTACTTCCCATGTCTAGATAGAAGACAATAGTTCCAAAGAAGTCACTTCTTCTGGAGAGAGCGTCTGCAACTACATTAGACTTTCCTTTGATAGTTTTTAGTTCAAAGTCAAAGGTGTCGAGGAATGCAGACCATCTTACCAGCTTATCAGAAAGCTTTGGCTGTGTCTTTATCCACCGCAAGGTAGAGTGGTCTGAATACACAGTGAAATGTCTTCCTAATAGATAGTGCTTCCATGTTTTCAGAGCACAGACTAAGGCATACAATTCCCTTTCGTAAGTGGAGTTGGCGACTTTCTCAGTAGGCAAACGGGCAGACATAAACTCAATGGGTCTGTATCCTTTGCCATCGTCTTGTTGTAAGACGACGCCAATCCCATACTGACTCGCGTCAGTTGTGACAATGAAGGGAAGAGAAGGGTCAACAATTTTTAAGACGGGGTAGTGAGTTAATGCATATTTCAGTTTCCTGAATGCAGACTCACAATCTTTGTCCCACAACCATATCATTCATTTTCTCAACAGTCTTCTTATGGGTGCAGCTATTTGTGAAAAGTTTCTAACGAACTTTCGGTAATAGCTGGCCAATCCAAGGAAGGATCTCAACTCAGTGACAGTCTTGGGTTGTGGCCAATCTCGAATTGCTGAGATCTTCTTTTCTTCAGGCCGGAGGTCTTCTTCGTTCACTATGTCTCCCAAGTATAAAACTTCAGTCCTAGCGAACTCGGATTTCTTAGGATTCAACTTAAAGTTACCCTCGCGTAACTTCCCAAGTACTAGACGTAAATGTTTTTCGTGATCTTCTAGTGTCTTACTATACACTAGAATGTCATCAAGATACACAATGACGAACTGATCTAACCACTGACGAAATAATTCATTCATGGATCTTTGAAAGATCGCTGGGGCGTTGGTCAAACCAAAAGGCATTACCATGAACTCGTAATGGCCATATCTTGTTCGGAAAGCGGTCTTGTGCTGATCAGCGGGATCTACTTCAATCTGGTGGTATCCAGACTTCAAGTCGATCTTGCTGAAATACTTACAGCCCTGCAACTGGTCCAACAGATCATCAATACGTGGTAGGGGTTCGGCATTCTTTATAGTGACGGAATTCAACCCTCTATAGTCAATACAGAGACGTAGCTCACCTTCCTTCTTAGGCACAAACAAGACAGGCGCACCATAAGGAGAGGAGCTTGRGCGAATCCATCMTTTTTCGGTCAAGTCCTGGAGTTGTTTCTTCAGTKCTTCAAGTTCCMTATGAGACATTCTATAAATAGGGCCCTTGGGAGTCTTACTTCCAGGAATGATTTTTATAGTGTGCTTTATAGCACGCTCAGTAATCCCCGTAGGTTYTAGAGRTAGATCTTTATACTCATCTAAGAGTTTTTYTATCGAGGGTGGATAGGAAGCGGAAGTTTCACCAACTTGTTTTACCAATACCATCATCACTTCCTGTTCCAATTTCTTCTTCCTGACCATGGATCGAAAAGCTGGATAACTCATGCAACAGAACGATAAGTTAGAGTCAGAGCCAGACTTATGATACAACTTAATGGTTTTCAATTCGGATTGCACATCGCGTAGTTGTATTACCTTATCCTTAAAGTTGATTTCTGGGTTGGTCTCCTCGTGCCAATCCATTCCCATAATCATATCAAAGGGCAAGCTCTTTTCTACAAAAAACCGAGATTTCATGTGCAATCCTCTTTCCGTCTCTCGTGCGGAAATAGCATTTTACACGATCGACATACTGAGAGACAGTGATCGTGCTCTTGTCTGCTAAGATAGACGTGATGGGTTGAGACAARTCTTTTACCTTCATTCCGAGATGTAGCTTTTTGATAGACTTCWYGGAA